GAACTTTCGGACCGGCGCAGTATTGTCGTGGCTGTTATTATTCTTGATCTTGCTCTTGCTCTTGCTCTTGCTCTTGAACTTGCTCTTGCTCTTGGTCTTAAGATTGCTGTTATTGCTGCTGTTGTTGCTGCTGCTGTTGTTGTTGCTGTCGTCGGTCATGGCGGTGTGCCATCACTCTTACTATTGACAACATCACTCATGATTCTGTTGTCCCCGTTAGGGAAGACATGGTTCGTGTCATTGCTATGACGGCTGTCGCTGCTATCACCCTGATGGCTGCTGTCTGACATTAAACTCATTAAACGGTTGGACAAGGCTGGTGTATCGCATGCGTTGCTTCTCCTACACAGAGCAACCGCCGCAACGAAAACTGCGATCGTGTGTGATTCATCAGTGGAAAGAGTGACAGGACGGTTCCCGTTCCCTGATCGCGCCTGTCCAGGCTGAGTTGGGACTGTCGAAGTTCATCGCGCTCGGCCGCCACGGCCTCGCAGCAGTCTCACCATGAAAACTCTCATAGCTTAACTACGAGATGGCTGATGTTTGATGATTCTGTTCTCATTGTCAGTGTCAGCTTGTACTTGGATCATGTCAGAATCATGTTTTTAAAGAGGTGCCGTGTTGCTCGTGATTTCTGTCAGAGTTTGACTTGTGTCATATCTGCACGCCATGAAACTGGCAGAAAGCGGTTGCCACAGCAACTAAACCTACCGTGCTCGCACCGTATTGCGTGTGAGTCAGTAGGACTGCAACGGCAATCGGCCAAGCAACTACATTGATCTCACATCCAGACCATATCATCGAACAACGATGACGTTCAACTGCCAAGAACGTGTCGGAAATCGTCGCAGAAATTTCGACTTGACTCGACTCTTTTGAAATCTGAGGAAGTGAGGGAGACTTCGCCGGCTGCACCGGCACAGACGGCAGCCAAAACAAACAATCGAGAAAGCCGCAACATGAGTTGAACAAATTCCACTTCACGAACCACAGTACAACATTCCACTTTGGAAAACTGCATGTTCACTCGCAGGTTTTACAGTCGGATTCATGTCCGCTTCATCTTGGCATCTCCACACAATTAAGTTTTCATGTGTGCTAGATGTGTTGAGTGAAGGATCTGTACATCCACATACTCCGTAAAGGATGCAATTTGCGGATCGGACATCAACGACACTGCTCAGCTGCCATATGATAACCCAGCTTGTTTTGAACGCTTGGTTCTTGTAGCAGCTTCTTGGAGATCAATGCTCATCTGTTGTCGGCATGTTTGGCGAAAACCAACTCAAGACAGACGACATTGCCCCAGCCCGACACCCGACCAGAAAACATAAAACCGAAGATGCTGATGGTCAAGAATTTGATGATGATGATGATCATGATGATGATGATGACGACGATGATGACGATGACGATGATGATGCTGATGAGGCCGATGAGGCTGATTTAGATAATGATGACGATGTGGATGAGAATGACGGTGAGGATTCGGTGAGGAGGATGATGCTGAGGAGCATGATGAGTGGTGACGACGGTGACACGTCACGAAAACGATAACAGCGATGAAACGACGGTGAAGTGGGGATTGTGCAGACTTGCTGCGATTCTATGCGATTGCTGCTGCCGTTTTTGCGGATGCTTCCGTGGCAAGATTATCGCTACCGCTGTCACTCCTCTCGTCTTCATGGCTAGTTAGTTGCTGTCACAGCTTCTATTACTGTGCTGAGTGGTGCCAGTGCGGATGCAGACATGCTGGGCCTTCAACAAACCAGAGGGATCTGAACAAATTCCCGGATGCACGCTGCTCCGAGCTGCGGTTCAGGGTGCCCCTCTTTCTCCATAGTCTTGACACGCTGTTACCTTTTCTTGATGGCACGACGGCATGGGCTTTGCCCACGACTGGCATGGGCCATGCCGGACAGGGAAGTCAGAACAACAATATGAACTCGATGAACCCTGCACCCTTGCGAGTGGGAACACTGAATCTTGCGTGCATCTTGCACTCTGAGGGTCATGCCGCCTGGGCAGCCATTTTGGCCGCCTCCCTCGTCTCTTCCGCGCGCCGCGTCAGCTCTGTCGCGGCTGCAGAATTCCTCTCCTGCAGGGAGCATAACTGCGCGGAAACACGAGCAGAATGTATACAGAGCATGAAACATACCTATCTGCACAGTAGAGACATAGGTTGACTCGGGATCGTGAGATACTACAAAGGGAGCTGTGGCCTTAGCAGCTCAAGCCGCGAGTGTTTCTTCAGCTTGATGTGAGGGCAGAGCGCAGGTGGTTCAAAGTTATGCTTCTCTTTTGCTTTTTGTCTGCCTCAGCAAGTCGTAGCTCTTGCTCTCGTCGGTCCAGCCCTTCCTTCAATATCTGGAGACCTGAAACAGGGAACGTTTACACTTGCTCAGCCACACGATTAGATTCATGTGCGTGCAGCTTGTCAACCCTCCGATGTGCCAAGCACTGATCAAAATTGACCAGCCGAGCCACAAAACGAGACTTGGACAGACGTAGTCCGCAGGAGAGGCTGAATACTGAAGAGTTTGAAACCAACGGATTCCCGGGCCCAGGGGCAAGCCTCGGACAGGCACGGTTTCCTCAAACCGGCTCTGACGATTAGTCCGGCTAGCCCTGTCGCCGACAAATCGGACAAGGCAGAAATGCAACGTTGCATAGACAAGAATTTTCAAGAACAACGTAAGAACGCACCGCGGCCGGCCGATGTTTTTTCTACAGGACCTGGCTGAGGGCCGAACGTTTGTCTTCCACATCCAGGTGCTTTGCCCTGGTTGACTGGCGCCTCAAAAATTCAGATCACTGTACACGTGCCAGATGAAACCACAAGGACCTGTGGAGAAATTTTGCACACGGGCTGTGTCCGCGGGCACTTGTTCCTCGTCAATAACCTGTTGAGCTGCTGCTCGCCATTCTACCTCAGCCAGGACGCACAGGCTTGCCTAAGCTAGCATAGGTTTGTAGCGATGGGGTGCCATGCCCAACTACAACCTGACATGCGAAGCTCCTGGAGTGACGCTTTTATCAGAGCCAAAGAAGCAAGTCTCTGAAAAACAACGGAGTCTTTGCCAGGCCTGCTGCTTATTGCAGTTAGTCGGAGGGGTTCGGGCTCCGAACATGGCGACGGCAGTGAGAACTGATCTTTGCCGAGTCGTCCACTGCTTTCTTCTCAAGATCTAGCTCCTGCACGAGATCCATCACAATCGTGGGCTCCGTGTGGGGGTGGAATGCCGGGTTTGTGGAAAGCTTCCAGTCCTTGGCACGAGTCCGTTCGAGAGCAAGTCTCTCACCTCATGCCGAAGCAGTGCTCGAAAGCTTGCTTAAAACCCCGCCTGAAAACCCTGCATTTGCAAGTCGAAGATTGGAGATCCGATCTAGCACATTCACGTACTCTCGGGTCCGAGCGCTGATGCAAGCGCTCCTCTCTCTCCGAGAGCTCGCGCTTTGCTTTCGCCAGCGCCTCTGAAGTCTCGAGGAAGCTCTCGGATCTCAGAACTACGTCACGTGGCCTATCGTGGCCTCTTGCACTTCGGCTCGGCTCTTGGCTGCTTCCTCCAGCGCCTTCAAATCCCCCCACCGTTCCGTGGAATGTCGATCTACGTGGCTGACTTAGCTGCGATTACGGCAGGCAACCGTTGTATCTCTTGATACTTCTCGGTGCACCGAGCCAATTGAAATCTGCAGAACAAGAATTCCATTCAGCACTCGATGGTATCTAGTTCTAGAGACACCGAAACAGAGCTGATCTTCGTATCTTGAAGCAAGGTTGAGCTGCAGGCGATCTGCTCACGCTCCAGCATGCGAACCCTCGCAAGTTCAGCCTGATTCCAGAGCACAGAAAGATGTCAACACAAGTGAACACTCAATGTGCAAGCACACACTGCTTGCATGATCCATCAATGCATCCATGTATGCAACCATACATCAGGCCGCCCGTCCGTCCATCCAGCCATACATACATACATACATACATACATGCATGCATGCATGCATACACACACGCACGTACCTACACGCACATGCACAAGCACATTCTTAGAATAGAAGGCTACACGTGTGCGCACATCCACACATGCGTACGTTCGAGTAATAATTACGTCACGTGTTGCTAATGCCTTGCTTGCATAGTCGACGCGCTTTTTGGCTATACACTGCATTTGTTTCAGTACACTGCTTTAACTACATTACGTTGCGCTACATCACACGACATCAAATCACATGACCTTGCATTACATGGCATTGCATTTTGCTGCATTACACTACTTCACCTTATAATACTACCTTCCCTTACCTTACGGTACATCAAACATCACATTGCAATACATCACATGATATGCCATCACACTAGATGGCAGCAAAACGATGTACAGATCATGAGCCTCAGATTCTTTCCGCACCATGGCTTCGCAGCGGGCTCGAAACCTCACTGCAGGCTGAGACTGCCGCAGGCAAGACATCCAAGGACGACTCAGGTCCGTGCTGGAGCATACGTTCTTCCATCGTTCGCCTGTCCTTGTGTGCGCTTGACCTTGCACCCGCTTCTGGGTGAAATGTCTTAGAGTCTTAGAGACCATCATGCCAGTTACATGGCGAACGTTTGCATCGCTACGTGGCCGACACAGCACATGCGCGGAGCTTCTCGTCGATAGTTTCGCCGATTCCTGCTCGTACACTGTGCAAAACATGACCGATCATGGGCACCACGTGTCGAAGCATGCATCGTGTCCAAGGCCTTGCGGGTCTGTCTGGACTCCTGTTGCATTGCATCTAGGCCTGATCTTCCCAAGCAGGCTGTCACGGGTTTGGGTGCATGAGTGCACGGGGGACGGCTAAGCTGCCAACTCCTCCGAAGCGGCCACGACTCTGAGCAAACGGTCCTTGCGATCTGCAGCATAGCACCATCCCCCAGTTCCTTTGCGGCCTCTTCACCGGCTTGCACTCACCATGTTCCCTACTCGCGACAGCTGCCTTTTTCGCCTTCGCTGCGAGACATCTGAGGGTTGGGCGAGAAGTGGTTCGTCACCCATTTTGGATGCCAAGCGGTAGGCCTCGTCGAAATCTACCACTGTAACCGCAGCTGCCCCGTTTCGTCACTCCACCAATGCTCGGAAGCTCGGAGCTGGTCTGGCGATTTCTGCAAGGAGAGGGCCTGCCCGACCTCGTTGGCTCAGGCTGTGGGCAAACGTGTCTCACTGGCGCCCATGCAGTCAGCACACCTCGTCGGCTGCCAAGACGTCTGAGGAAGTCATGCCACACCTGATTGTGTTCATAATTTGCTGTTGGGGGCGCAATCTCGAAAAGCAACCCTGTCTACCGGGCCGCCGACTCCGGCAACAGGACGGACAAGCTGTAGTCTTTTTGACGATGGCGGAGAAACCTGGCATGCTATAAGGCATACAGACATACAAATAGGATAGAATGGAATAGAATAGAGTTGAATAGACGAGAATTCAACGAAGAGAAAAGAAAAGAAGAGAATAGACTACAATATAACATGATGTGGTATAGTATAGTTTAGTAAAATATACTATAATATCATATAATACACCATGATGAAATGTTATATTACATTCAGATAGTATTATCAATATACACACATATATTATACATAAATATATACTACATATATATATATATACACATAACAACAATTATCTATATATATATATACGATACACGCACACATATACATATATATATAGACAATACACACGTAATGGAATGAAAGAGAAAGATATATATATATATACATATGTACATACATATATAATCATATATATATACACAAGTATTATATGGATATACATATATGTATATGAACATGCCTTATCTGATTCCCCAATGGGAGGATGCGGAGCTACGTTTCTGGTCCCTGACCATGGCACCACCACAACAACGACGACCGACGACTGCAACGGTGATGGCACCTGCGTCTGCGCCGATTCCCACGGCGAAACATTACATCGCACGTTTTACAAACGACCGAGACGATGCACTGCCACTACCACCGCGACCAGTTATAGTCTTAGCGATTACCTGTTCTCGAATGCTACTCTTCGGGCAGAAATTGCAAAGGCAGGCAAGCTCCGCTCCAACACCAAGCCTCGGCTGCAACACCCACTTTCAAATCACTCTTTGGCTGTAGATTTCGCTTCGGGATTGTCGGATCCACGGCCTGGTTCGAGCCTGCCGCCGTGCCTTCTGGGGCCAGGACTGTAGAGTGCCCTTTCGGCCAGCGGTACTCTGTCATCCGGGTCAAACGCCTGCAACTCATTGCCACACTCCACGCAGCTTCTGGCGACAGCTCCCCCGAGCCTGCAAGTGAGACGCCTTATGGAGAGACCTCAAACATCATGATACATTCACCGAAGGGCTGGTATCAGTGAGATGCAAACTAAGCAGCCGGCTGAATTAAACGAAAACGCATCTCTGACTTGAGACTCTTGGCGATGCCTCCACAGCACACACCAATTGCACAGCAGACGTCCCACTCGCCTTCAATGTAAATAGGCTAGCAAAAATAGCCTATGAGAGTGGCAGTCGTGACTTGCGGCTGCAATTCACGACCTTGTTCTTTTCGTTGTTGTGTGTTGTGCCTGCAAGTTGTCAACATTGTTTTCACCTAGCATCATTTCTCCCTCTGCTCTGCATGGTAGGTTTGGCTAGCCAGACATGTGACGCTCACTCACTCGCCCTTGCTGTGCCCAAGGTGACAACAGTTGCAAAGCTTCGCAGAAGCCGCTGGCATGGGCGGCCGGCGAAGATCACGCCTGTCTCTTCGGCTGCAGCAGCCACCTCTGCATGTAAGCTCGCCTGGGTCAGGATGATGCACCGACTGGTACTTGCACGCTTCTGCCGCCACGTCCAGCAGATCCAGCATCCGACCTGCATGCCTGCATGGTGCTGCACCGCCATCATGGCATTGGCCACCCATACGGGTGGCTTGCATGCTATTGCTACTAGCCAACGTCAAAACAACAGCGTGGATAAAAATCTGCCGAGCTTGAGGGTCAAGGCTGCATCAACTGAGCAGCTGGAGTCCCATGGCACCCTATCCTTCATGATGTCCCTGCTTCGTTCAAACCGACATCGCGGGCTGCTGGCGGCATACGTTGGCATCGTCGCACGTGTGCAAACGCGATTGGGCACCACAAGTCGACAAACCAGGCACTCTCCTTGGATGCCGCTTTTTCGATCGGTTGCCAGCATGCGCATGCTGTGTCTGGATGCCGCTTTCACAGCACCTTCTGTGCTGGTGAGATGGACTTCCCAGCTTGTCAATGATGTAAGTTCCAGAACCAAAGCACAGGTGTTGCAAAAGAAGATAACACTCGGTCATGGAACGAATAGATGCCGTGAAATCATCAATAGAATGCCTTTTGCATTCCATCAATCTCAATTCGAGGAATGCATGTGCTGTGACATGCAAAGTGGTCAGGTGTACGGCATTCAGGGTGACTTGCTGATGCGGCGTGTCTTGGTTGCGCTCATCATGATGTCAGCTTCCACTCTGCATTTTCGATTCCTGAGAAACATTGAGATCCCCAGCGCTGCCTTCGGCAGCACTTGTGGTCACTAGCAGACGTAAACGAATGCATCGTTCATCCAGCTCATGGCCAGAGCCGACAGGAGCTTCTCTCATGATGCGCATGCATGCTTTTGTGAACTTTTCGTGGCCCTGACTCTGGATGCAAACTGAGCATCTACTCACACCCTGAGCAAGAGCAGATGTGATGGCAAAGGTTGCACAGGCAACTCCCATGCCTTCTACTCGCAGCTGTCGCTTCCTGGTGCATCGGAAATGTTAAATCCGCCTCGGCCCTCGCCGGCCGAAGCGGTTAGAGGTTTCCGTAGAACCTTGTTGCCCCTCCTCTTAATCGCCTCCGCATTGATCCCCCACCACTTGTAGGGGCACAGCCCCCCCCCGCTCCTGCTGCTCGTGAACACAAATGTTCCTTTTTGTGCCACCCCGCCCCTCCCCCGCCTGCCCCCCCGCGGCGGCTTCTGCGTAGGTGGCCGTGCCCGACCGAGCGGAGGCGGGCGATGCGAAAGCATTTACAATCATTAACCGGAATCACGCGTGCAATTTGCAGGACTCGTGCACGAGCGCATTCAGTCTATCAATTGTTCAAGTTTGCAACTAAATGCAAAGAGGCTCCTGCGCCCACGCGACGAACGTCTCGATCACACTCTCGCCTCAGACAGGCCAGCGGTGCACGCACCACGGTCACGGCGAGCAACTTTGACTGCCTTGTGCGATGACGAAGCCCAGAACGAGTGCCATTGTGAGGGCACAGATGTAGACACCTGGGAAACAGCAGGCACGGCTGAGCGCTCCGACGGCCTTGCGCCGGTAAAAGCTCACAGATCTCAGCCGCGGCATGCTCCGACACTGCGCGTGCTCTCCCGACCTGGTGACAGAATTGGCCAACGATGCTAACTATTAACATCGTCGCGAAGTCGGAAAGAGCGCAAAAGAACAACGGTATGATGCCATGCTAAGCAAAGAATGCGTTACGTTCTTTTCCATATGCGTGTCAGCTGCACTGCAAGGCCCGTGCCCACACGCCGGAGTGCTCGCTTCATCTCAGCCTTAGTCGTCTTCCTCTCTGCAACTTTCTTCCACTAGGGCTCAGCAGCCTGAGATGTGGAAGTCTGCAGAACTTCCGGCAAGTCCTCTGCAAAAAGCTCGGTTGTTGATGCTGGGATGGTATGCAAAGCTGTCCTTCGCAGCCTGCTTGTCGGGCGTGCCAGGCTCCTTCAGAAGTTGGGATTAGAAGGAACCTAGGAACCCGTCTGAAGGCTTCACACCGATGCCTGTGGCGACATGACCTCACCTGTCAAATTCGTGCAGACAGGGCTGGGAAGGCTGGGCAATGCTGAAATATGCGAGGTTGCCGCCTGCCTTCGTCAAGAGCATTGTGATCCGGCGAGTCATGCCCGATCTCCTGATGCCCAATGTTCAACAGAGCAGCACAAACCTGGCACGCTTTAAAAAACAGTACGGGCCTCCTCCTCCTCTTCCTTCAAAGCAGACCCTTGAAACCTGAAAAAGCCAACAGGAAAAGGTGCGAGGAGCGAGTAGTTCACGCACCGTGGCGACGTGCGTTCAGAGACAGAGGAATCTATGAAGAGGCATCACTTTAAAGACTGCAAGCTCCAAAGCAGTTGAGAGCCTTCAGCTTCGAAGAGCAAGCAAAGAGTTATCGGCTGCTAACTGGCCATCCAGAACAAATTTGACCGTCCCGGCTTGCCTGGTGGTTCGATCGATAAACGGGAACGACTGAGACAGGACCGGACACCAGACATTGTTGCGCTGTCGCGCCTGCAGAGGTACTCTGCTAGCTCCCGCTTGATCCTCTTGAAGGATTCTTTACCTTCCGGGAAGCAATCCAAGCTGCACAGAAACCGTCGAGCAGGGCAGGATGGCTCTCAGCGACCCACTTGCCAGGGCGACCAGTGTGTACTGCATGACATTGAGCACCTGGATCGTCAGCAACACCAAGCACATCCGTGGTTCGGGCCAATGGTGCCAGGGTGCAATGCAGAGCCCATTCTTCACTCCCAAGCCGGGGAAGTAGGTATGCTGCAGCCTCACATGCGGCACCGACGGACTGGCACGAAATGCAACATTTGCCGAGAATTTTTGAAGATCAGCCAAGAGCTTCATGCCAGCATCTGAGCGTGCGACAATGCCCACAGCCAGACCTCGTTTCAAAGCTCTTCAGGGAAGCTTTTTGATTTGACCTTGCTAAGTGCTGGTGTTGCTACAGCAGGACTCCATGCATCTGCCTTCTTCGAAAGACGTCTTAAATGCTGAGCACTGCACTCGTATAGTTAGAAATGGGATGTCGATCAGGAAGATCGACGCAATGGCCGACCTTCACAGCTAGGGATGATAAAGTTGTGTGGAAGCACGATGGCCACTCGGGCACGCGACCGCTTTCGAGCAATGATGACATTCTGGCGCTGAATGAGATTTATAATGGCCTTAGCAAACAAACACTCCTTCGCCTGCGGGCTTGTTCAGTGCTGTCAGAATCTACGACGGTCTGGGTCCAGTCCATGGGGCTGCTACCTGCAATCGCCGCCTGCGGGCCCTGCCGGTGAGGCTCAGTTCTGACCAAACTGCATTCTGCGACGCTCAAGCTCATGTCTGAGTCCCACGTTCGCCTCTCATGTCGCTCCAGCCAGGCTCGCTCCCGTCCGGGTCCTCGGTCCAAAACCCTTCCAAAAGCGAAAATGCCATGCATGGGCTCTGAGAGACGCTGAGCGGAGCACCAAACCCCGTGCTCTTTCGAAGCATGATTCCCGAGCCCGAGCTTTGCCTGAAAAAGGCTCGCTGGAGAACCGTGCTTGTTTCTCTGAAGGCTGCCAGCCTGTCGCTGAAGGTGTCGCCTGAGCTCGGCATTCCACCGCGGAGGTCTGCGGCAAAGGTGACCGCCTGCAGCCCAAGCCCAAGTAGTGTGCATCGCAAGACCGCTACGCCCTCGAAATAGCACCTGTCTTGCACCAGAGGTCTCTGATTGCCAATCCTGTCGCGTCGAAGACTTCTGTCACACTTCCAGGCATAGAAACTGGCAGCTCCAAGATCCTAACATCCTGGGGCGACCTCTGAGCGCCGTGGCGGCACCGAAGAAGACGCCGATGCCGACGCTGCCTGCCAGTCCACTCGCGAGAACTTTCTCCGGAAGATTTCCAGCATGTAAGCACAAGGCCGCAGCTTGCATCTGAGACCTCAGAGACATCTCGTTGGCTGTCGCCGTTCTTTGACTTCCAGACCGATGCAAGAGACAACCAAGGAGAAGGCAACGGAGCTTGTGGCTGCAGTGCATACCTGCTGGCCGCTCTCATTCAAACCCGGCAGCCTTGGTGAGCTGGGGACCCCCAAGCCAAGCCAAGCAGCCTTTGTGCATTGGCTGCGGCCTGCATCTGAGCGTCGTTCCTGAGAAAGCGAAGAAGTGCAATCCACAACCAAGCCATGTCCACTAAGACGCTCGGTCCTGGAGGGCTCCTCGCGCGGCTCTGAGCATGCCTGGGGCAATGTGGCCTGAGCACATGGATCCTCAAACCAGCTCCCGAAGAAGCCACAGTTTTGAGCACAGGGCGGAGGCTTCAACCTTAGAGGTCAGCATTGCTATGGTTCTGGACGGGCAGTTTCGAACGATTTCCGACCTAGATGAGTCAAGTTTAATCCTCCACTCGCGATCGAGAACTTAGGACACAGCCGGGATCGGCCACTTGTCTGTTACTACCTCAGTTGAACGAAAACCAGCTCGAAGCTCAAGCAAAGGAGAGCTTGGAGACTGCTTGGAGCTTGGAGCCAAACACCGGGAAATGCCTGAGCCTCGACAGCACTAAGCGCGCAGGACAAGGCCGAATGACATCAAAGGACACGGAGGTGTGGTTAGCTGCGGGATTCTGCGG